ACCTTGTTTTCAGCAGCACATACCTGTATAGGAGTGCCTTCCCAATTTTTTTCGGCAAAAATAAAGAAAACGCTTGTTGAAAAACGTCCTGGACGCCAACTCCCAAAGTAAACTCTTTGCACAAGAAACTGGAAAGAGGAGAAGAGACGTTGGGCTTGAAGTGCCAGTAAAGTACATTCAAGCGGGTATTCAAGGCATGAATTTAATATAGAAACAAGTAATAATCCACGGCAAGAGAGGATAAAGCGATAAAGCTGGAGCTTTATCCTCTCGTGTCCACCTTTAAGGGGGAGCTTAATAGGGACGCGGAATCCTGGGTTTTGGAATCCGGAACACTGCTCAAGGAATCCGGAATCGTAATAACCATTGAAATCCGGAATCCAAGTTTTACCAAGAGAGAATAGATCATAGTCTCTTTGTTCTACTGACAAATACTGGAATCCAGTGCCTGGAATCTGGAATCCACAGCGTGAAATCCAGAATCCAAGACTGTCCTGAATTCCCTTAGTACATAGGGAGATTACAGGCATTTACTCACCTAATTTATTGAAGCTCTGGTGGAGTTGATAACTTACTGTTTTCAGTGTCTGGTTTACGTTTTCTTTCAACTTCATGATATCGGGCGTTATTATTTCCTTACCTACTTACTCACTTAGTTACGATGCATGTTTTCAAGATTTGACTGAGACGCACAATTAATGGCTTCCTGTTGTCAGGTTGTCCTGGTTGCCATTTAGGTGAAAAGAACAAGACGTTATATTGAACACTCCGGTTTGCCGTCTCAGTTGTAAAAATAAAGCATTAGCGGAAGATCTAGCTTCGAGGAACAGACTCCTTTCTGTGGATTATTACTTGTTTCCATATTATATTCACGTCTTGAATACCGCTTGAATGAAGTCTCATGCGCCTATTTAGATTTTCTTTATTTCTGCCGAAAACATTTGTTAAATATAAGAGTTCTCGTTTCTTCTACCGACAGACTCGTAGCTTTTCGAGCCCGAGTTCGCTTTTTTTAAAAAGAGGCTTCAAGTTGTTGTAACGTTTATAATTTGTAGTCTATGAAGTGTATCGCATATTTTTCAGTAAATGAACCCCTAAGCATTTGTGAGCAATTCATAGACAAGAAGAAAACAATGGTAACTTATGGTAACTTTTTTATCAGATACTGTTATGCATAAGTATATTCAAAGCTGAATTTACACATAACTGGGCCCGATAGAAAGAAAACAAAATGAACTTGCGGTGAACACAAAAGGCGGCCAGCTTTTTCTTTTAGGTCTTTTCTTGAGACATTATTTTGTTGACTCTAACATCCGTAACCTTTAAACTGGCTACCGTAGAGTATCGTGCATAAAAGCGTTATTATTTCCAAGCGAGTTCTTTTTGACGAACTAAGTTTTTTCCCACGAGCTGGAGTGCTGTGTTTAGTCAAGTGTGACGAAGGTCGATTTTCAAGTTCTGTGTTTACAAGTTGGCGGAAGCCGTAAGATATCTGAAGTTCAAGTGAGAGTTTGTTGTTATTGGCAGAGGCTCTTTAGTTTTACTTAAGTTCAAGTCAAAGTTTGTGTTGGCGGATCAGTGTGTTTTAAAGCTCTGTAAAGACTATGTTCCTTTGGTATTAAACTTCCTTGTAATAATCCGACATCCCTGCGTGCTGATAGTCAGTGAATAATTATCCTCAAAACATTCGAACTCGTAACATTGATTTTTAGCCAATTCCATGCTCAACGTAATTGACTCCTTACCAATGCCTTACATATCTTTGATCGGGTGAGGACAAAACATGGACCAGGAGTCCATGGGCCCCTACTTTGGACCGGGTCCATGGACCACTTTCATGGACCCCCTGTCATGGACCGGGTCCATGGACACTTTTTTCAAATAATGAGAAATGAATAAAAACAGAAATAGTGCAAAAATATTAGATTTGACAAGAAGCTGTCGACCGATGCTCGTGATTGTTCACAAATATTTAGTGTGCTTACATGACGTACACTCTGCTTGCAAATGTGCAGTCGCAAATAAAAAACTGTTAAGCTAATTCAAAAGTTATCAGCAAGGGAGGCATTACGTGCTCCAGTACAAAGACTCGCATTATCCTCAGCAAAACAAGCTGGAGTTGGGAATTCATTGCTTTTAGAGCAATCGAAGTTCTCCATAATTACTGTGGCTTCAGTTTAAGCTACAATCCGCTTCTTTGAGATTTGGATCTGTAAATCACTATCTGTGAGAATTAATCATCCTGCTAAAAACGCTAACGAGCTGGGCCCAGCATGACAAAACATTGCAGGAAAAAGTGACATTCACGGACAAAAAGAAAATGGCTTAGAATTATTCAGATCCAGGAGGCACTTTGGAGAAATTACACAACGTAACACACTTAATCAGCCGCAATGAAGTGCTTTACATTTCAAAAGAGGTAGAAAATCAATACACGTGTCACGACCTGTCAGTATGAAATAAGCGGCAAAAATTCACATTTTGTCACTCAAAACGTTTTTCTCCAAAGCATAATCTACCCGTCAGAGAAAACAATTTATTGGAACAAGCGGCATGAGGTAAAAGTCGTGTCTTGCCTAACCCCACTTCTTTACACCATGAAGTACAATTAATTATTACTGATCAATTGAGCATTGTTTGTTGTTGTTTTTTTATCTTATTTTTGCACTCTTTCTGTTTTTGTTCATTTCTCATTATTTTAAAAAAAGTGTCTATGGACCCGGTTCATGACAGGGGGTCCATGGAGCCCTGGTCCATGTTTTGTCTTCACCCTCTTTAGTCAGTACATCATATGAGACTGCTCTACCGTTTTTGAAGCCTGATGTAAGAAAAATAGAAAATTCTTTTTTCACTTTTTGTTTTGTTAGACTTGTTATTCACCGCCAGTAACGTTATATCTGACTTAGGTCTAAACGTTTAGACCCAAGTCAAATTTAGAAGGATTTGTATAGAGTCATCAGAGCATAACTGGGCTAATATCTCAGGGATAATTTGCCCCAAAATGCTAGTTTTTGGCAAGTATGCCTCTTGGATGTTGCTCGTTTGAAAATATCCTGATAAATCCCATAATTTCACAAGTTAACACCTTACTATTACCATAGTTCATTTCGTATTATTCCTCCGCGTTTACAATTTATCAGTTTCACAACCACGAAGCCGAAGTGTACGCTCCATAGCGTCTTCTTTAGTATTACAGTACCCATCGCTATTAACCCATTCGCCCCTGAGCCGCCTATAAGCGCCCTTGCGGATCCAGTTTTAACGGCCAAGGACAATTTTGTTGGCTAACTTGGGCAGGGTGAAGAGATCTTTCAAACCTCACTGGAATGAGCACGATTCAGTCATGGAGATGGGAGAAAAAGGCAAAAAACTATGTAACATTGACCCGAAATTTCCATGAAAATCTTGTTTCACTACCCACCTACCTTAAAATCTTTCATCCGAAAGTCCTGAAGGCTTTCCCCAAAACTTTTCCCACCAAAATGAAGCCCACTATTTGCCCAGCAAGAGAAAATAAAATAAGGCAAGAGAAGCAAAAGACGAGTGGAGGAAAGAAAGCGAAAAGAAAAAGTCAAGACTGCTGTGTCACTTTTAATTAGCTTTCTGTGCATGCCCGAACTTCGCAAGCTGATATTTTGCATGTGGATTAGAAGGCTGCGAAATGTACGTCCTGCAAACAGCTCTGTGGTAATGTTTAGCACTTTATAGCCGGACAACGACTAGAAAACCGCTCGACTAGCTTCAAAAAGCATTTTTCGGCAAAATTCCTAGGGGCGAATGGGTTAAATCGGTTATTACAGTTTAACACTCTAGTGGGACATCTTTTGTTTACACAACTTTACATTGCCAAAGGGAAATTTCGACTTTGTCTAAAATGAGAATCACGCATAGTTAGCCCATATAGATGTACTATTTGAAATTTACCTCCTGGCACTAGATTTACTTTCTTTAATGAGTTAGATCCAGATCAACAGTTTACTTTTTCTCCTCCTCCTAATAATTATTATACTGAGGATGAAATTAATGCTAAGCTAACTAATAGTTCAAATTCTCCTTGCTTCTCTGTATTTCATATTAATACACGAAGCCTAATCGGTCATTTAGATAAATTTAAATTCCTGCTTAGTCATTTGCAAAATCCATTTTCTGCCATATGCGTATCGGAAACCTGGCTAACTGAGCTTACGTCGGACCAGGTGGAAATACCTGGATATAAATTTATTTCGAACCACCGCGATAGCAAGTCCGCCGGTGGAGCAGGTCTTTATTTACTTGACGATTTAGAATACAAATTATGCCGCGATTGTAATTATTCTGAACCTGAAGTGATCGAAACTCTTTTTGTTGAAATTAACATTCCCAATGGGAAAAATATTATAGTTGGTACTGTTTATCGTCCGCCTAATTATAACACTCAGGACTTTTGGACAAATTTAATGAGATTCTTGCTAAAATAACTAGAAATGACAAATATTGTTATTTGGGTGGAGACTACAATATAGATCTGTTTCACTATTCCGATCATGCCCCTACTCAAGAATTTGTTGATAGTCTATTTTCCCATATGTTCATTCCTCTAATCAATAGACCGACTCGGATCACTGCTCATTCGGCCACACTTATTGATAATATATTCACGAATAATGTAAGGTGTAAACATTTCAATGGTATTGTTATTAATGATATTTCTGACCATCTACCGGTTTTTGTTTATGAAGTGGATGAGACAGAAATAGCGTCGAAAAAAAAATAACCAAACTAAATATCTCACTAAAAGAGATTTTTCAGAAAGAAATAAGAGCAATTTTCGGCTCTCTCTTTCTCGTGTTAATTGGAATTTACGTTTCGATGAAAGCGATACTAATGAATGTTATAATAGTTTTGTGAGTGAGTATGTTCGATTATACAATGAAAGCTTTCCATTAAAAACGATAAAACTTAAAACAAAGAAAGTAATGCACTCCCCTTGGATAACGCAATCTCTGCTTGTTTCTATCAGGAAAAAAGATAAACTCTATAAGCAGTTCATTAACTCTAGGGACTCAACTACTGAGTTAAAATACAAACGCTATCGGAACAAACTGAATCATCTTATAAAAATTGCTAAACGAAAGTACTATGATACAAAATTTGAGAAGGCTAAAAATAACCTGAAAGAAACTTGGAAACTAATCAATGATGTAATCAACAAACCGAGCAGAAAAGCAGCTCTGCCAAATTCCTTTTTCTCTGATGGAAAACTGTTAAATGATCCACAAGAAATAGCTAACTGCTTTTGTAAGTTCTTCACCAACATAGGTCCGAATTTAGCAAGGAAAATTCCAGACACACAAGTATCTTTTCGTAGTTTTCTTGGCGCTTCTGTTAATGAGTCGCTTATCTTAAATCCAACTAATATTTCGGAACTAAATCAAATATGCAACTCTTTTAAATCTGGAAAGTCGCCTGGATATGATAACGTTTCAATGGATATAATAAAAAGCACCTTTGATCTCATTTCTCAGCCTTTGGCCAATGTAATCAATTTGTCTCTTATTAAAGGAATATTTCCTGATGAACTGAAAATTGCTAAACTGATTCCGGTATTTAAAGCTGGTGATTCCCAGTATTTCACTAACTACCGTCCAATTTCGCTTCTTTCTAATTTTTCTAAATTCTTTGAAAGAGTTATGCACAATCGTATTACAAATTTTTAGATCGTTTAGATATCTTATACTGTTGCCAATTTGGATTTCGTAAAAATATTCTACAGCGCTGTCTTTAATTCATCTTATTAATAAAATTGCAACTGCTATTGACAGAAGCGAATATACAGTTGGCATATTCTTAGACTTATCAAAAGCATTTGATACTTTAGACCATCAAATACTCTTGTCTAAGCTTGAGCATTATGGGATTCATGGGCTAGCACTTAGCTGGTTGAAAAGCTATTTGTCAAATCGCGTGCAGTTTGTCCAGTACAAAGAGACTTGTTCTATTAGGCTGACTCTGAGCTGTGGAGTCCCTCAAGGTTCTATATTAGGACCATTATTGTTTGTTTTATATATCAATGACCTCCCTTGTGCTACTCGTCTTGCTGAAACTATGCTTTTTTTGCAGATGATACTAGTGTGTTTTATTCTAATCCCGATTTAAATTGTGCTATTTCTGCCGTAAATAATGATTTATCTCAAATTGATCTTTTTATGAAAGCAAATAAGCTCTCTGTTAACATAACGAAAACTAATTATATCATTTTTGCAGCAAGGCAAAAACCAGTCGGCTTCCCAATAAATCCTGTCTTGTACGATGAGGTTTTATTAAAACAAGTAAAGGTAGTTAAATTTTTAGGGGTTTTATCGACGAGCATCTAACGTGGAAGCCGCATATTACTTATATATGTAAGAAAATTTCAAAATCTATTGGCGTCATGTTTAGGTCTCGTTTCTTTCTTTCTGAAACAACAAAAAAGTCTCTTTATTATACCTTAATTTATCCTTATTTAACATATTGTACCACAGTTTGGTCCTCCACTTATGTAACAAACCTTAATAGAATTTTTCTTCTACAAAAGCGAGCAGTACGAATTATTACAAATGCAGATTTTCGCGCGCACTCTGAACCATTATTTTTCCGTTTAAAGATTTTGGACATATACAACATTAATTCATTCTATACTGCACAATTTATGTTTTCATATTATCATCAATTACTGCCACCGCTTTTTTTCGAACCTTTTTGTTACTAGTAGCAATATTCATAATTATAATACTAGAAGTTCCTCGCATTTCCGTTCTCATGCCTGCCGAACTAACACCAAACAATTTTCTATTTTGTTCCAAGGCCCTAAAATTTGGAATTCTTTACCAAACTCAGTCACTTCGATTTTTACATTGCAATCGTTTAAAACGAAAGTTTTTGATTTTCTACTATATCGATAATGCGTCTTGTACTGTCCGTTGTTGTGTGTTGTTATAGTTCTATTGCTTAATATTATTGTAACGAGGGGGCCTCCTCGTACAAGCCTTGTGGTTTTCTGAGGTCCCCTCGCCACATCTTTGTATAATGTAATGCTTGTGTAATCTTTATTGTGGGAAAATAATAAATAAATAAATAAATAAATTACTATGGGGAGGTCAATGAGACTCAACAGATGTAATTGCAACCTCTTTGATTTAGTTAAAGCCCGTCAAAAGTATGAAGTTGCATAAAAGCTGGAACCAATGAAATTAAATACTGCTAAGAACTGCATACTGGGCTCGAAAAAAAGTCCCATCCAGTAGTCCTGGACAAGACGGTTTTGTTGCTTGGCAATTATCTTTTAAAGTTTATACATGCAATGCATGGCCAAGGGTCCAAGTAAGTCATTCTCTAACAAGATCATTAACTAAGAGAAGCAAGAAATGGCCCCAGATAAGAAAAAATGTGAGAGCTGCTTGTCCTAAGAACATGCTTCAATCTACGTTTTTTCAAGCCCGGTTGTGGTATCTTTATTCTGAGTTATTATGTCGAATATAATCACAATAATGTGTCATTTGTTTTTAGGGATTGGCCCATCCTCTCTGAAATCCACTTAATGTAAGACCATGGCTTCCACTTCACTACCCATTCAGGAGCATCACCAACCTGATATCCCCGGCAAAGTAAAAGTCACCATTTTGGCCTCGGAATGGGAGTCAAGTAAAGAAGCATTTTCTACCTTAAACAGAGAGCTTGCCATACAACTGGCTAAATTCCCAGAGGTGGAAATCACTTTCTTTTTGCCAAGATGTACGGAAGGGGAAAAGAATCACGCTCTTAGTCGCAATGTGAAGGTTGTTGAAGCAATACCGCATCCTGGGTGTGATGAACTGCAATGGCTATGCTTTCCACCTGACGATTTGCAAATTGATATAGTTGTCGGCCATGGAATTAAACACGGTTACCAGGCACAAGTTATTAGAAGATCTAAAAACTGTCAGTGGGTGCAAATGGTCCACACAGACCCAGAGGAACTAGGAATGTTTAAAACCTATGACAAGCCAATTTCAAAGGGCGAAGAAAAGCGCAAGACTGAAGTGGAACTTTGTAAAATGGCAGATCTTGTTATAGGAATTGGACCCAAGCTGAGTGAAGCCTTCCGCACATATCTCCGTGGGTCTCAGGAAGTCAAATGTGTTCATGACTTCACCCCAGGAGTTTTTGATGAGTCAGATGAGTTTGTTAGTGTAAAGCAAAGTCACGAGGAGCAAACACATTGTAGTGTCTTGGTATATGGCCGCGGCGATGATGAAGACTTTGAATTAAAAGGAATTGACATCGCAGGAAAAGCTATTTCTAATCTGCGCGACACTCACCTCGTGTTTGCTGGGGCCCCAGATGGAAAGCACGAGTCAATAGCAAGACGATTAAGTGAACAATGTGGTGTTCCCAGAAGGCGTTTGAAAGTAAGAGGCGTCCCAAGCCGGGAGGAGTTGAAACGCTGGTTCAAGGAGATGGACCTTGTACTTATGCCGGCAAGAACTGAGGGCTTTGGGTTGACAGGACTTGAAGCCTTGTCAGCTGGTCTTCCTGTGCTTGTCAGCAAAAACTCAGGGTTTGGAGAAGCCCTGTCCAAGCTACCATTTGGGTCATCATTTGTTATAGACTCAGAGGATCCTAAGGTTTGGGCAAACGCCATCGGGGACGTCTTGAATAAAGACAGGCAGAAACGTCTTAAGGAGGCTGGGATCTTGCGCACTTCCTATGGAGAGAAATTCAACTGGGCCAAGCAGAGCAGAGATCTTGTAGATAAGATGAGAAGCATAGTTCACGGTATGGCGTTTCAAATTTGTTGTATATACACTGTAACATATAAAAATTGGTTTAAAAGTAAAGTTGGAATGAAGTACTGTGCATGAGAGCCTCAAGAAAACTTTAAAAGACAACTACAAAACTATCATAGCCTAAAACAAATATCCAAAAATGTTATTCTTAACGCTTACAAGTCCACGAATCAGACGAAATCCTGGAAGACTCGTGAAGAACGAGGTCATTTATTTTGTACGAGTTTTGGATTTTCATCGTGTTACTGTAATCAGGCCTTCCTTTGCTTTGCAGCCAACTGGTGCGTACCATTTTGTGTACTGTGCTTTTATTGAGATATGGAGGTGATAACCTAATTACAAAGTTATTTCTTTACTTCTTAACCTCAATTTACCTAGTGGCTTTAGTAAAGGTGCGTAACTGTAATAGAAACAATAGCGTTAGGAAATAAAATTGAAAGAAGCCAGTTGACAAAATGATTAGAGATTGTTTCATTGAATGGAATAACATGAGAAGAGTGGAAATATATTTCGGCAGTTTGATAATTTTCTTGGAAGTAAGTGACGTTAGGCGTGAAGCATAATTTAATTGCAGATGCTCAGGAAGGAGGTAATTCCGTGGATTCCTGTAGCACACCTCGGTAAAAATCCGATTTGGTTTGTTTTTGACTTGTGGATTACGCGTAGCGCAAGGAACAAGTTATTGTGGGCACTGCGATATGCAAATTTGTCACTCAGATGTAGACACTTTTCGTAAATCAGTCGGCTCCACACGAAAGCGCCCGATATCAAAACGACAACTGTCGTAGATCGTTCCCGTTCCGCGGTGTGCTGATTTTGTATATTTCACAGGAGTCACGGGACGATTGTCTTCATATGGACTTTAAATGTTTCAAATTAGAACTATGGCCAACTTTGAGACAGAAGTTTATGAGTTTTTGAAGCTTTTTGACTCGTCCAGGCGATAAACATGACGCCGAAAAGATCAGCAATTGCTTTTCGACTCCCAAGCGAAGCTGGTCCAAGCTTACGATTCTGCCGTGAGTCTCAGGATGTTTTAACTTTTCACACGACAAGACTCCCAGTCTCATGGTTTTTTAGTGAAATATCATTCTGAAATGAAATGTTTCTTTGTTCAATAAAAACGGAAATGTTTACTGTTGCTGAATCGTAAGTGATTCTCCTCATGCGTAAACGCCGAAAATCGCGACAAGAGACTTCGTGGCGGTTTTGGGAGACACTTGTCGGCCATATGTTCTTCAAAGGCGACGAAATGAGTTAAAGTACAGCTTTAACTGTCAAAACCATGCTTGTTTTCCTCGAATATATATTTCAATTCTTCATTAATAACGCTCTACCGGCTTCAAACAGCGTCGACCAGCAGAATTTCGTGGTCAAGAGTGTTACGTATGATTAATTTAGTAGACTTACTTTAATAGTGTTGGTTGTCGTGGGGCAATGGATAACGCGTTCACTCTATGCTTCGATGGTCCCGGCTACGACTCCCATCGGTAGAAACTTTCTTTTCTTTTTTGGTCCTTTTGTTTTGTTTTGTGTTTTTTTTTTATGCAAAATAATTTCTTTTTCTTATCCAAATCGTGCTACGAAAATAACTACATGGCGATACATCAAAGCAAGGTCAACTCTGTCCTTACGACCACTGACAACGATAAATTCAGTCATAAGCACATTAAACCAACCCATACATGTAACCTATACTCATCGATACTCTGACATGACACATCTTTCCGATTTCCCTAATTTTCCCAAATTCTGATAGAACACCATTATACTTGCATAGACCAATGCATCCCACGGGAACGGTTTTAGGCGTCTTGTTTCTTAATTTTTTTGTAAACAATTTGCGTTCTTTCACGTACAGACTGTTTAAGGGGGCAAAGACCAACATCTTCTCGTGCAACTCAAATTCCCTCGCGCACGAACGACGAAGGGGGCAAAGTCCAACACTTTCCCGTACAAACTGTGTGACAAAGGGGGGAATTTCATATATCCCATGATGCATCGCTTTATACTATATTATCAAGCTTCCGAACGCACGTGATGCAATCACTTCAACCGGGACGTGACAGTTGAACAGCAGTGGAAAGCGACTTGTTTTGCCGATAAAACTTTCTGTACCTTTGCTGTGTCGATCTATTTACGATTCTCGTTTTACTATTCCAAATATATCTCTTGTTAAGTCAAGGAGAGTGTTTTGGCCGCCGATTATGAGTTAACTAGCCTTACGATAGCAACGCAGTCCACACAAATGTTCGTAGAAGCTAGGGAGGAAGGTCTTTGCTTCAGTACGTCCTGTTTTAACGTGCGTTGATAAAGCTCTCCATGGATTAACAAGCGATTTCCACGTACTCGTCTTGAAATAAATACATATTCTAGGAGTGAGGTTTCTCTTCGTTGCTTGTTTGTGATCGCGGTGTTCATATTGTTAGTTCAATAATTCATCGATGCAGTACATCAACCGTACGGTGACCGCACATGCTTTTACTTCAACAAGCTCGGCTTATGTAGTCGAAAATACCGAGATCGTTAAAGTACAAAGTGACGTCTATCGGAGATAAAATTAAAAGGAGGTAAATAGCTTCAACAAATAATAAAAATAACAAAGACATCACCATATTTTTCGTAACGCAACACCAGCTAAGCATCATTGCCAAACATAAACAGAAAAAAGCTTTATTAAGAAATGGCAAAATACACATACAAAAACACCCACTTCTTCGCTACAATGGATCCTAAAAGAATTATCAAAATGTCTTAAAAGGTTTTATACGCCGGTTGAGGTCCTACGGCATGCTATTCCATGACATTTGCTGGCCTGTATATTTCAAGTTCGCCACGCGCGGTTGCGACCGGAAGCCACCATGAGAAACCAATTTTACCTAAAATAATGAGACAAAAAAGCTTCAATAACTATAAACCATTGAATTTAAACATTCATCATACCCTTCAAGAGATAATATTTGTGTTTTGATCAGCAAAAAAAGAGCGAATTCAAGAAAAAATGTCCCATCTTCGCAGGACTTAGTATAAGGAAATTGAAACCTTCGTCTTACATCTTAGCAGAGAAAGGGCAGAAAATTGGATATTTCAAAACGATCAAACCCATAAAAATCGCGAGGTCGAAAGAGGTCGGAGCGTGGAACTAGTATCAAGCACCCCTTGCCCGCCGATTGAAATAATTTATTAGGGCAAAACCTTGCTAGAATAAAGACAGTTTTCGATAATTGTAAGTCATCTAAATAGATATTCACTTGCGAGTTAAAACAGCATGGCTTAACAGGGTCGTAAACGAGAGCAATAATGCGTGAAATGACCATGGAACCATTTTACATTATTAATAAGATACCAAAGATTAACAGGGCTCATTGAAACTTACCTTCGATGAGCTGCATCTTGAAATTCAGGTCGTTGAAAATCTCCCTCGAAACCCTCGAACACTCTTTCCACAACAGAGAGAAGACAGAAATTTGCCGCGAAGCATCATGGGATATATGAAATTCCCCCCTTTCTGTGTGACTGTACATCTCATGCAGACTAAATCGATTTTGAGAAAAGGAAGAAACGATTGTTTTGCATTCTATCGCTGGCTTAATGTTGATCAACGACCAATTCTTCATACTCGCTCCAATAAACTTTTCTGCCAAGTCCTGTTCGTTAGCTGGAAAACTTCTGCGTAACAACAAACATTACTGTGAGTTAAAACCATTGTTTAGTTGCAAAATTCCGTTTTGAGAATATAAATCACCTCTAAGACTAACGAACATGCCAAATTCTGCAGGCAAATTTAAAAAAGAGAGTTCTTGTTTGCCATTACATTCTGCAAATTCTATTTTTCAGTAAAAGTGTAACATGCGAGCCGACTACTAAACAGGCAGTGTTGTCTTGAAGCCGAGGGTTGATTTGCGTGCCACCCAACTTCACACATAACAATATTCTGTTGCTAATATTTGTGATCATAGTTGATCATCATGATAATCATCTAGGATAATGATTTTAAAGAGATTAAGGATCAGTTTTAGGGCAAATGGCAGACATCACATTCAAGTGAGCCATTTCTCATAAAAGGAAATGAAAAATAATAAAAAAGTTGCGTCCGACGTTTGAAGAACACAATTCATAATCTTGGGTTCCTTTGCTACTAATTATAAGCGATGATCTTTTTCGTCGTTCCTGCCCCTTTTCGGTGCCTTCAAGGTTTGGTTTTTGCCATCTGAACACTCCCCTATATTAGAATAAGTATTAATTTTATTTCCGGCTTTTCTCGTGAGCTCTTCGTTGATTACTATTCGCTTTCACGGCAAAACTAAGTGACACGTGTCTCCGCCCGCCATGAATCAAGCACACACCAACGAACACACTCAATAATCTGCGATTGCTACTTGTTTTTATGGATGAAACTACGTTCCTGGGTTGAAACGCCAGCCCATTTCTTCGTCCCTTTCCTTTCAGTGTTGATTTCGATGATGTTTATGCCCAGGCAAGCGCGTGAAACCAACATCAGGGGGGGGGAAGAGAAGGAGGGACTACACGTATTTTTGGAGCCACTTAGTTTATCTTGTGTTTTCGGTGGTGTTTCAGCAAATTAAGACCGGAATTGTAGCGTGAAACTGCTAATTTTAATAATGAAAAGTATACTACAAGTTAAGAAAAAACTTGGTAACGTGGTACAAATTGAAGTTTGTCGTCTTCCTCAAACGTGATTCTAAATCTCATTTTCATTCAATGTTTTAGCGCAGAAGTAAGTACGTAATTTACGTAGTCTTCTTTAGTTATACAGCGGACAAAATAGCAGCTAAAAAATCTTTAGAATATAGCTGTAATATGCTGGCCATTGGATCTTAAAATGCTCCTAATACTTTAATTAATTGTGAACTATAATTATTGAATTTCCTGCAAATTCATTGGCTCACCGCAGCTTATACTTGAAGTGTGCATTATTTTCATATGGAATCTATCTTGTATTTGGTAAATAATCTGTTACGAAGTTGACATAGAAAGAACAGCCAGGTAGTCACTCCAATTAGTGGCCAAAGTCAAAATTCGAAAAAAACTGAAAATTTCATTTTATAAAATTG